AGTACGTATCCTATAAATTTGCTGTCTTTTTTACTAATGTAATAAAATTGTAACTACACGACATCTGTACACAGAAAGTATTTGAGAAAAAAATATATAAGGATCAATAGAAGCCCAAACAATAATTTTAAAAATTATATCTGTCTGTCTGTTTATCTCATTTTTATTAATATGCATCAAATTGGGTGCGTTTTTCACAATTGTGTAAAAGTATAATTTCATTGATTTTCCTACTTCTAAAATCCATCCAAAGAAGTAGCGGGAGAAAAGCTCGGTACAAATATGATAATGTGTTTGTGTTTTACCTCTTAGCACCTTAACACTGTGAAATTTGGGTTAATAAATATTATATATGATGGAAAAAGATAAAATAATTTCCGAACATGTCCAGATCACACATACGAAGTTGCGGGTAAAGGCTAGTTTATAAATAAAAATATATATATATATATATATAAAAGTTAACAAAATTCATATTTTTTTCACTTGAGATAAATATTTCGTATTTACATAGTAACAACCTCCTGTTAGCATCTACTAGTAGTTTCAGGCTGATTTTCCAAATTGCACTGACGGCGGCAACAATAACCGACGCCTCTATATTTTCAATTTGTACGTGTAGAAAGCCCTCGAACATTTTTCGAATTTATGTGTCGTTTGGTCTTAATTATCAATATCTGGTCCAACACCCGTATATGGCAAGAATATAATATCCTTGCCGTATATTATATCATTGTTGTTGTTGTGTCAGCCGTCCACTGCTGAACATAGCTTCGCCCATAAGGGGGGGTTTGCCAGTAGTTGTCACGATTGAAAGACGGGTAACAACCACAGTTAGCCATCCAACCCATCCTTCCGTCATAAGCTTCGTGTTTCAATCGTGAAGCAGTTGTGTTTGCATGGCTGTGTTTCGGTTTGAAGGGTGGGATATGGCGTGAATTTACTAGGTATAGAGGAATACCGTCTGAGTCCTCAGGAATGGCAACGCATGGGGGGTATCATGGGCGAAACAGTATACTCTGTTATTTCCATAGTACTGCTCATGTCTATAGGCGACGGTTACCACTTTCCATCAGGTGGGCCTTCAGCTTGTTTGCCATTCAAGTTGTATAAAAAAAAAAAAAGCTCCCTTAGTCACTTACGACAGCCACGGAAAAGAAGGGGTGACCTATTCTATGCCGGGACCCACACGGCTATATAAGAACATTATATTATTTGTAGTAAAATAAATAACACCATAGTCTTCAGGAATATACATAAGCATATCATAGGCATCGAATGAGTGATATATATACGAGTATTCATGATGGGATACTGTCTGTAGACGACGATTGCTATATCCCATTATATTATATTCTTTATTCCGCATATGAATTACATTGTAAATGCATTTATAAATATTGTGAGCAAGTGTGGCCTTATCCCTGACAGAGATCTCTTATAGTAGACTCAATACAGTTGGAAAACATGTCGTTAGCGGGCAACTAAAGTGCACGAACTGCTATTATTACTCCAAATACGAATTACTATTAACAGTAATTTATATATAAACAAATATACAAATAAATAGTTAAATGAAATATTAATATATATTAGAATATTACATAATTAAATAGTACTAAAAAATCCAGTTTTTATGCTAATTAAATTAAAAAAAAAACTTATACTATAAATAAATGTAATACCTTCCTACTTATATAATTTATACTGATGATGATAGGTATAAAGTTTCAACAATTACGAATATTAACGTTCATGATGATGTTTGTCTTTACCCTTACTGGAAAATGTCCATCGAGTAGACTGACATTTTAAATTTTACAATGTGCTTTGCGGAGAGGATTTACGCTGTAGTTTAAAAATCTCGTATTTTTACATTACACCTTAATGTTACAATTATGTGAAAGAAATATTTGTAAGTTACATTTATATATGTTTGTCTTGATACAGGATTCGTATCCACAAACTTTATTTTAAAAGGGCTCTATCTTACCATTAGTTCGATTGGGTTTCAGAAGCTTTGTCACATCTACCGAAATAAGCACGTGTCATATCCAACTAAAGTCGTGTAGAAGCTCAAAAGATACTGTTGGATTTTGGGTTTGCTATCTTTTTAAAGGGCCAACATAGACAAAACATAACATGTCAACCAAAATAGGATACAAGGAAACCCCACAAATCCATCGTCCATCGAGTATTTAGTTTACCCAATAACGAACATATCCTCTGAACTAAAATAAAAAAATCCCTCGTCTAAATAAGCCCTATAACATTATAGGTATATTAATATGTAATTTCAATAGATTTCAAAATAATAATGATTATCAATTCCACTGCTTTGTTTATGTATTTTCTTTACGCGATATTTTTCATTAATTTTACGCTCATTTTGGCAATTTCTTCTGCACTCATTCCTGCATTATCTCATACTAATTGTCTCATTTTTTTGCGAAACAAAATCGTAAATTAAGTACAATATACATTTATATGATAGATACCTACTCTTACTGTCTCAATTTGCATACTGTACTGTATTTATGTCGGCGTTACTACTATTGTATTTCAAATTAGTTGGAAATCCCTAAATATAAAAGGTGAATTAAGATGACATATACAATTATATAACAGTATACCATACCATGCCATATAAGCCATCAATTGTCCACTGCTGAACATAAGTCTTCGACATTAGAAAAGTTTTGCCAGTAGTTGCTATGCTTGGCAGGCGGGTTGGCAACCACAGTTAGGCCTTGTAGATATTATAAGAGAACTGCTGCTGCCTATATAATAATTTACATTACAATATGATCTACGATACTTATTTTTTTTAATATTGTTTTTAATGAAGCACAAAGCTTTGTATTTGGCTATTAAATATGAATAAGTCTCTAAATTTCACGATTTGCCATCACTCAAGAGTATTTTGTTTTATGTAATTGGTAAAGTATGATATTTACAATTTATTATATGCCACTGCTTATTCTATATGAATTAGTAAAAAAGTACCATATTACCTGTTCATGTATTAAGGTTTGGATATTATATTTCATATACGTGAGTATCTTTATTCTACTATAATATCTTATTGCCTGAATAGATTTAGATATACGAAGATTCGTTAGAATCCTTATATCATCCCGAGCTAGCTAAAAATTTTTGAAAATAGAAATCACTATGGTTGCTCTGTGGCGCTAATTTCAAACGTGAAAAAAATTCGTCTTTTTAATTTTTAAATTATATTAGCAAGAGGTCGAGGGATGAGCAGCGACGTCCCTCTTAAGGCATTTCCAAAACCTAAAAGCGTTGACAGGTGCCAAGCATGGCATCTACTGGCAAAACCCCACAAGGCAGAGATTTATGTTCAGCAGCGGTAACTGTAGGCTGATATGATATGATGATTAGCAGAATTATCTATTACGAATTTATATAGAAGTACAAGTATGACGTACTTATTTTCACGGATACTCCGAAAATATACGCAATATGACAGTAATCTATTGTAATTTTACCGGAAAATTCCAGAGTTGAATACCAGTTACAATATGCTAATACAGTGAGTATTGATTTAAATTGAAATATTTAAGGCTCTTGTTTCGCCGAACATGTTTCGCACACAACACGATAAATATTATTTACTATTTACCAGAGGGAGACTTTGTACAAAAGTCAATTGCTTAGGTACCTCTGTTCTATTCGTGTTTCACCCGTAAAGCAGTTGTGTTTGCATAGCTATGTTTCGGTTTGAAGGGTGGGATATGGCGTGAATTTACTGGGTACGGAGGAATAACACCTGGGTCCTCAGGAATGGCAACACATGGGGGGTATCATGGGCGAAACAGTATACTCTGTTATGTCCATGGTACTGCTCATGTCTATAGGCGAGGGTTACCACTTTCCATCAGGTGGGCCGTCAGCTTGTTTGCCATTTTAAGTTGAAGAAAAAAAAACTACATAACTAATTTTATATTCATCATTTCAATATGAATTGCAATAGGCATGTAAGCAAGTACCACTCCGATATCTATATATTATGTTGCTTTGGACGTTTATGGCAAAAAAGGTCATCATCCTCATCATATATCCTCCAACGTAATCGATAACTGATATTTTCTATTGCATATTCATTAATGGATCAATTTATGGAAAATTATGGTCGAGGGATAGGCAGCAGTCCTCTTAATACATCAGCAAAGCCTAAGTGCGGTTGCCAATCCGCGTGCGAAATGTAACAACTATTGGCAAAACTCCCCAAGGAGAGGCTTGTTTACAGCAATGGACAGTTAACAACTGATTTGATGATATGATGATGACATATTAAATGTAACTGTAGTTTTCAATAACATTTGTTTGTTTAATTTTGTTTATATTTGTTTAATTTAGTATTGTCTAATTTTGTGTTTCGTTTACTTGTATTTTATTTTGTGCAAATTCTAGTGGCTACCAAATTACTATTTAAGTATATAATTATGTATTATTTTAGCTGTTTGTTTGCCTTAAATAAATAAATAAACTACATTTTTTTTTATACAACTTAGAAATTTTTGTACAAACGACAATACATAGATATTGCTATATATTACCCATCCCCAGATTGCATATCTTCCGACTGATCCGATCGACGATCTTTCAGCCCACGACACACGTCTTGAAAGTTCTTCTTCTAACAGCTCATAGAGTATATTCTTTTTTTTATACCACTAAGGTGGTAAACAAGCATACAACCCATCTGATGGTAAGCGGTTACCGTAGCCTATAAATGCTTGCAATACCAGGAGCACAGGACATATTTAGTATCTTATTTTGTACTCCATACTTACCTCTAGCTATCCTCACATTTAAAAATAAGTATTTAAAAATATACGTTCACCATAACAGTAACAGGCCAGAGACGATTTGGACTACTCTATCGGGGATTATAATCGTGACCATATATTTTTAATTTTATGACTATATCATAATCTTTAAAAATTAAATAAAACACATTAAGAATAAAATCATACTTATGCTTAAAACTGTTTATTCAACTATCGTTATGTTTTTATTTTTACACTTCATTTAATAATAATTACATTGAAAATAATACAGGCATTAATCCACACTTTGTACGAACTAATACCACTTCAATAATTTACAATAACTTGACTATATTATCTATATAAAACTCAGTCACAAACGGGGGGTAAATGCTATGCAGTTCTTAAATAACTAATGTTACAATTAATTGGTAGTATAATATTAATTGTTCCATTACTATGTAACAAGTAGTGTATTTATATGAAATACATAATATTTAAAATGTATATTTATGTAACCTATGGAAAAATACTTTAAGAATGTAAAATAATACTTAACTATTAACAATATAAAATATAAATAAAAAAGATAAAATAAGATTAAAGTAGACATTTCCTAATGTGCGCAAAAGTATAAATAAGTAAATAAAGTACTCACACTGGAAAGACAAAATTCATTTTATTTATTTATTTTATTTCTTTGTTATTCGCATTATGCACTTTTTATTTGATATGTGTCCAATACAGTATCATCAAAAGTCCATCCGAGAAAATTATTTTAAATATTCAAAACGTTCAATGACCCAGTATATTTTTAGCACAATAGTTTATTTTTAAAATCCCTTTTGTAGAACTTCATAACGAACAAATTTAATTATAAAAGCTATGCTGTGCTGACATACAGAAAAAAAAATTACAAAAAATTCTAGGCGAAAATTTAAAGTGTCCCATATTAACTCGATAACGGAACGCGCCATGCTAGTATGAATAAAAAATTGTTAAATCATAGCAAAGATATTAATTAATAAATTTTCACAAATGAGTATTTTTTGATGAATTTTAATATTTCATATATGAAAATTCTATTTGTATTTTCCTTTTAAAATACTATTTTTAACCCAAAAAAAAAAACATTTTCTTCATTTCTTTCAAACTTATGAAATTTATTGTTATATAATAGTACATACGCCGTGCGGTCCCGGCATAGAAAAGTCTATCCATTTCTTTCCCATGGATGTCGTAAGAGGTGACAAAGAGATATTAATGGACGACGGATGATCAGCAGCATCCATCTTAAAACATCACCAAAAGCCAAACTGCGTTCAACCCGCCCATCGTGACAACTACTAGCAAAACCCCCCAATGGTAAAACGGGAGGCCTATGTTCAAAAGCGGACAAACGACGGCTGATATGATGATGATGTTGAATAGTGCATAATCATTCAGAGTACAGATAAAAAACATTACTATTTTGATAAATAAAATAAAAATAAAATATATAATCTGTATTACTAAGTTAACAGATAATAAATTGCTAGTGAAGTTACAACCAATCAAAAATTTTATATCAACAAGAAAAATACCAAAATAATCTTGTAGATTATTATTATTTTTATTATATTATTATTGCAAAATATCTGGAGATGTCGGAGATATTGTATTTAAAGATCCTTTTTCTTTACTGTAATCATTTATATCAGCTTTAATCCCGTTAGTTTGGAAACTAATCAATCCCCGTACTTAAAATGTGAATAAAACATGAATAAATATTTACAATATAGTATGACTCACGATAGTTAATATTTATTGTTATTCTAATATTATTATTCATTATCTTTTTTCGGTTGAAATTATAAATAGTTAAATATTACTGTTCTTATTAAATGCTGGAATAAACATACAAGCAGACACACAGACAAAAAGTTCCAAAAATCATTGTTTTGGCTTCTATTGGTCTTCTTAAGATCTCTGATAATTATTTTTCTTATGTATCTTTCATGAACAAAGGTTTATGTACTAATATATAATATTTATAATAAATAATAGACTAGTTTGTCAGTTTTTATATATAAATATATCAATTTTAAAATACCATTGTAATGCTAAAATTATAATTTTTCTTTTACAACACAGGGGGCAAACGAACATTCGGCTCACCTGTTGGTAAGTGACTACCGCCGCCCATGATCACCCACAATACCAACGGCATTGTAGGTGTGCTGCCGGCCTTTTAAAAAGGAATATGCTTTTTTCTTGAAGGTAATGATATCGTTAAATATGAAATTAATATATTATATCACTAATTTTGGCATCTCATCAATACAATATAAATCATAAAACTTTGTGATATTTGTATAACTCAAACAAGTAATTCATTTACATATAAAAAATAATAACTTGTATAATGAACAAGGAAAACTATCAAAAATGAATATCTAGATTATTTAAAAAATATTAATAAAAAGGGCATTATTTGATATAATATGTACAGACCACAATAATATTTTTTTAAGATTTTTGCGATATTTTTTTAAATATTTAATTGATTTGAATACACAAAATATTGTGTATTGATATACGTAACAACACATTAATTACAAATATATGCAAAATAACATTTTCTCGTTAATACATATTTTATCAGTCTGTATATTAAAACAGGATGTCATTTTATTTGTTTTACAAAACACTAATACATTCTACACAGAATTACTCAGAATATGACAAGAACTGACGTTTACATCAATGATTCTATTGAATACTTTATATAACTAATCTATTGATTAAAAACTTGGATACATACTAAAAAAATAATCATAATGCAATTAATGTAATACCTATCTCACCTATACACTGATATAAAAAAAAATCCTTAATTAGTCGAAATAAAACATAACATATATTCATTAAAACCTAATATACCTATGTACTTTATCAGCGTTAGCCAGCTACCATTTTTATCATTAACTATTTAGTTACAAGTATGTACCAAATTAAAAGAATTGTACACTTTCCATTACTCACCTGTAGGACTTTCTATTTCTCTTTGATTTTTTTTTGTAAGGATTGCACTCTTTATCCTTCTAGACATAGAATGAAATACATTAAAATAATAATAAATATGATTACATATTTTAAATTATAATATATTTAAATAATGTATTTTAGGTCACATAAAAATGTCACTCAATAAAAATATTACAAATAATGATAATATTTTTGTAATTGTTTACGAGTATACTTGCATTCGGGTATTATTTTATTAGAAGTACAGAAACTACAAGAAAATCAAGATTTTCTGTAGTCATTTGGTATAAAATCAATTTAATATGTCACTAGTTCATTTTCGTTAATAATTATTTAGTAATATATGGTTTAAGATTATATGTAGATAACTTGATATAATTTTATATTCGCAAAAAGATTAAAAAAAAACTCGGAATTATTTTTCCTAAGATATTTATATCAATTTAATATAAAAGATTACTTAAAATTCTTTATTTTTGTAAGATGCAAGGGCGGAGAATTTCCCTAAAATAGTATTCAATGTTTATTTTTTTTCTATCAATATTCTGTATATACATATTATAAAAGACACTTAAACTAACTTGTCTATGTTTTCCATAGTAAATTTACTACTACCAAACAATATTTTATGGTATTTATTTGTTGTCTTTAAGTTTCAAGAATTTGCATTATTACCATCAATATCATTTAAATTATAATTTACAGAAGAAATAGTATTATTCTTTGTTAAAACAAATCTTTAACATACAAAAAATCTTTTAATTTGTCAAAGAGGTAATATTTAAATAATAATAATAATATTTTACATAGGCGTCAATCTTTCAGGCTCTTTTTCTTCTTTAACAGTGTAAACCGATCGTCGAATGGCTCCTCCTTCACATCTAGTATTAGAAACGTGATTCAAAACTTCCGGCAATGATTCTCCTTCTGAGGTCATCATTGTTTCATCTGTAAAATTTCCACTTTCATCTCGTCAAGACCGGTGTAAAAATTCTGGTGTCAAGACCTTTTGTGTGGTTGTTTTCAAAATCTTCTCGTGGTGTTTAAGTCGATGTACAATTTCATCGTGAAGTACGTTAAAGCACATAGCAGTCAGAGCCAATCCAGTCATGATATAGATAGAGCAAAACCAAACTGTGCCAGAGGAAGCACCATTTTTCTGCGTTGCACCGGGAGCTAAGTGACCAAAACCAATAGTACTAAGACTCATGAAGCAAAAATATACGCCATCGATGGGACTCCAACCTTCCAGTTGGTATAGTACGAGAGCACCAAAAAATATGTAAGTAAAAATAGCAGCGAGACATAAAGAAACTGGAGCAAGGATTGAAAAACCGCGCAATGAAACTTTTGAATCTGTGTCAGTGCAGCTCATCGAATCACAATCTCTTAGAAAACTTAAGCTTTGAGTTTTGTCTTTTATCGAATTTGTACTGACGCTGTGTGCTTGAGACGCTGATATTATCGTGCCTGAAGGTGACCGCACATAATAAGGCTCTTGAAGGTGTAAAGTTTGGTTTCTGTAATCATCATGTCTTCTTACTTTCTCTTTTCGTTCCTTGCTTGCCATAGTCCTTTCGTCGAGGCAACAATATCCACATTTTGTACAGAGACAGCAACATAATGCTCGACTAAATACACTCCGAGCCAGTCTTGATAGTAAAGCTCCAACTACTGATAGATAAAGGAGAGTTAATGGAATGCCTATAACGGCGTATCCAATTGTTACAGCCTTTCCTAATGCTGTTTTAGGGGCTACACTTCCATAACCTGCAACATATTCATAATAATTAAATTATGTAATAAAAACAAAAGCAATTTAATAAATTTATTTCATTTCATTTCATTTCATTTCATATCATTTCATTTCATTTCATTTCATTTCATTTCATAAAAATAACAAAAAAATACATGACAATAATAAAATATATTACGTACCTATAGTTGTCAAAACTGTCAAAGAGTACAGAAATGCCTTGGCAAAATTCCAATCATAGTCATCAATTACCAAAGCTGGGGCTGATTCCAAAGCCCTGGCACCTCCATACTGCGCAGACACATCAGCTGCGACTCTTGCTACTAACTTTTCTTGAAACCTAGCTATTTCTTGAGCAGCTAATCTTGTCCAATTTTCTTTATACAGAATGTTTAAGGACACTGTTATTTCCCAAATACTTTCAACTGTCTGTGACCTTAACTCAGCGCTGGCTTGTGTTATAGTACCATTAATTTTAGATAATGGTACCTTTTGGCTATCGCCAGCCTGATAAGAAGTAGTTGCTAATGTTTTTTGGTGTATTTTTGAAGCATTTCCCTCAATGGCTAGAAAAATAAAAGCTCCCAATAAAGTATATGCTAGAAGAAGGACGAATATTCCAAGATTAGTAACACATCCAGCAACAAGAGTTTTCTTTTTGCTCTTTTTAGTTTTAATACAGAAACAACAGGTGGTGACGACATCATCGTCAGGTCTATACTCGGTTTTTCCATTTTTCTTATATTTTCCGTTTACATGATTCTTCTTCTTATTTTTATCCATTTTCGATTTCATAAATTTTTAATTTTACAAAACATTTTTCCAAGAGATTTACGAACTCTTGTCTTTTGAAGTATTCTCGATAGGAGTCATCTGTAAAAGAGAAAACATGTAATTATATGAGTACACTCGTATATTTAAAAATATCTATAAAGACTTTAGGTAACAATAAAGGAAATTCCTCTTTTACTTTGTGTGCATAATTCAAAGCTCAGCAGACCATTTAAAGTGACTGTACCAGTGAAAGGCGTGTCGATAAAAAAAGAAAAAAGTAAGGAAGATAACAAAGCTATGTATTAGCATACTTATAGTACTTTAATGACACAACTTTATCATAAAAAACATTTTACATTATGATATTATTATCTAAAAATATAATATTTCACGAAATTCCCAAATAATAATATTAACTATTTAATTATGCATAAAATTACATATAATGTAAAGTACCATCTGCAATAAATAATTAATAATTGTAATTTTAAACTAAATTATATACATAATTTAAATTTTAGGAATAATATGTTAATTCGATATTTATTTCATATATATAAAATATTGGTCAGACGTTCATTTTGTATACATATTTTATTACAATAAATAACAACCGTTTATTTTAAACAAATTTCATTAAATATTTAACATCACTATTGTTATGAATATCATTTTATAATGTAGCTCATTTACTGTATATATATTTTTAATAAGCATGAAAAGATGTATTTACAGTAAACAAATGTATTGGCCGCCGTATGGCCCCACCGCCGTATGGCCCCAGCATAGAATGGGCCACCACTTCCTTTCTCGTAGATGTCATAAGAGGCGACTAAGGGAACTTAACAGTTATGGAATGGATAGCAGCGTCCCTCTTAAAACATTACCAATGCCAACCTATCAGCCAAGCATGGCAACTACTGGACCCCCTCCCCCTCCCAATTAAGGGGAGTCTATGTACAGCAGTGGACAATTAACGGCTGATATGGTAAATATATTGGGGCTAATTAATCGCATTGCATGATTTATCTCTTTCTCGAGGTATAAATACGTAAGTGTAAAGATATGTATTTTTATTTTATGAATATACATATGATATATATATATATATATATATATATATATATATATATATATATATATATATATATATATATATATATATATATATATACATTATGTTTGTATACTAATATATAAAACATTTTATTATTAAAACTGCCATCGAGTATCTCTATACGTCCTAAAAGTTGACTAGTAGAGAATGTCTACAGCATAAAGTCCGCCTTTTGTACCACATTTTATTGGTCAATAAAGTTGTTGTCTGCCCACCCTAATGGTAGACAGGCATGACAGAAATATATGTATATATGTATAAAGTTTAAATAAATAAAGAAAACAATGATATCTCACTGTGAGTTACATTAGGAAGCTAACAACCTTCTCATTTGCAACTACATAATAAGAGCTTTCGTCGTTATGGAACATTAAACAAAAACACTAATTACTTCCTAGTACAATATCCATTATATGCAACCTACAGTCTTCGAAGTTCTAAATAGTTCGTAGTTTAAATTATAACTACATAACTGACCATTATATGTAGCATTTGCACTGCAGTACTACGTATCTACCTAACATACGAATTTGATATGTAAATAGAATGATAACTTTAAGTAACTGTTTATAAAAAGAAAAGTGAATGCTCAATTCGTCACGAAATTTTGTACATATTTAAATTTAAATAATTTTTATTCAAATCTACGTGTTTGTAACACTTTACAATCTTTTTTTTTTTATCTACTGTAGGGTTCCGATGGTTATTATCTGTTGAGAAGAGCCCGCATACATAGACATATTAGGGAGACAAGGAAAAAACATAGATTATTTCTTACCTAGTCACAGATAGTATGTGAACTATAAATAGGTATTTATAGGAATTGACCAATGCATACGGAAGCTTCATGCAATAAGATTTTTACTAAGCTCTCAAATAATGACAATATATATTTCAAAATATGAAAAAAGTGCATAATATTTATTGAAATAAACTATGTCTATTAAAAAATAGAATATTATAAATACGAATATTTAGAAAAAAAAGATGAAATTATCTGTCTATATCATTACATATACAAAAAGTCGAGAATAATCTGTTTTAAAATGCAAGCGTAGCAAATACTGCAATGTTTTAAGTATACATTCGGTGAAGTTACATAACTCACTTTTTGTTTTACCTTGACAAAAGACTTATATTATGAGCTTTATTCAAACAATTAGTAATATAATTATCGATCTGGTTTTTTAAGCAAATTAACCTATTATAATCGAGGAGAGGGAGACATTGTACAAAAGTCGTTTGCTTGGGTACCTCTGTCCCATTCGTGTTTCTACCGTGAAGCAGTTGTGTTTGCATGGCTGTGTTTCGGTTTGAAGGGTGGGATATGGCGTGAATTTACAGGGTACAGAGGAATAACATCTGAGTCCTCAGGAATGTCAACGCATTGGGGGTATCATGGGTGAAACAGTATACTCTGTTATGTCCATGGTACTACTCCTGTCTATAGGCGACGGTTACTACTTTCCATCAGGTGGGTCGTCAGCTTGTTTGCCATTCTGAGTTGTATAAAAAAAAAAAAAAAAAAATTAATTATAATCTGACAATATTGTCAATATTATTGTTTCGCGTCAATAGCTACTTCAAAAGAACACTATAATTTTTTTGCCAATGGTGAATTATATAACATTGTCGATTACATAATTGATTATTAGATTATATAATCAAACTATCGAATAATACACGATACTGAAAGATTATTAAACAACACTACAACAGAGAGTGTAATAGATATGGTAGATAGACGGTGTAGATGTCGCCACTTGTGAACTAGTTGCAATAGCAGCGGTTTACTGGTAGTATTTGTGGTCGGATCGAGTGCGTTCGATATGTCGACAATGAACTACACCAGTATCTATAAGTACCGATTTAAATACAACCAATTTTATTTTATTTAGTATTACTATGAATGAAATTTTTGAATATACTATGCTGAGTAAGAGAGTAAAAAACTTGAGTATTTGTACAAATAAAGTGACTGCTCAGAGTATCTGCAAGCTGAAGTGTCAATGAACTGGAGATAGAACTCGAGCAACCGATAACAATAGGAAAGAAAGGTTCTAAAGTAACAGCCCCGTGAAAGCAAGCGTAGTTTGAGGCGAACCCCACGAGACAGAGTAACGATCTTTTTGACATTGTATGAAGGATACCTCTATCCAACAGTGGACGATAGATAGATTGTAATAAAGATCACAATGTTTGGAAAACACCATTAACGAATCAAATTAATGCGAGTGATATTGGTATAACCTTGCCATGCTGTAATCATATTCTGATATGATCTGCGAAATGTGAACATGTCGAATATTATGTTCTCCACAACGATAACCAAAGCAAATGGCGCCACCTCATTACTAGTAATGCTATAATGTAATAATCGACAAAAATATTAAGAATTACTATATCTAGTACTGCCGTGATAAATTGAACCACCCCTTCCTTTCCCGTGGGTGTCGTAAAAGGCGACTAAGAGACTTAATGGTCAAAGGATGGACAGCAGCGAATCTTTTAAAATATCACCAAAGCTAATTGCGGTCGCTAATCCGCCTGCAAATCGTCCACTGCCAAACATAGTTTCCCTCATAAGGAGATTTTGCCAGTAGTCGCCACGCTTGGTAGGCAGGTTGGCATCCACAGTTTGGTATTTGGATATTATTTATTAATTAAGGAAATTATTAGAGAGAATTATTATTAAGAGGGACGCTGCTGCCCAACCCTCCACCATAAGCTCCCTCAGTCGCCTCTTATGACACCCACGGGAAAGGAAGGGGTGGCCTATTCTATTCCGGGACCCACACAGCTAAGATTACATATTTAAAGAGCACTTATTATATATAAAATTAATGGCGTAAAAGCAAATTTTATGATGCGAATTCTCTTATACAAAGTATCAATTATCGGTTTCATCTTTGCGTTAATGTACCGGAAATGATGTGGCGTGCTACTGTGGCGCGGATAACGTCATAACGGCCAAACTTGAACAATTTATTTACAATTTACAAACTTTAATCGTTCCCTGATTAAATAAATTTACTCTTACAATTAAAATTCATGTCTTCGTATTGATTTTAAATGGCTTCTTGGTGTAAATATAAATATTTTGCAAATCCTATATGCTTTACTATATGTATTATTAATATTGTAAACGTAACAGTAAGTTTGCCTATTGATTTGTTTATCGCCACTTGATGACTCAAGGGGTTAATCAATCGACGTTAAATATTAGTATTCACGTAGTATTAGGGGAGAAAAAAGGATATAGACAACTCTTATTTTATTCTGGTCAATTAAGATCATTCGATGACGCGAATAAAGTCACGGGTAAAACCTAGCAATATTTTTTTTTATACCACGAAGGTAGCAAACATGCATAAAACCCGTCTGATGGTAAACGGTTACTGTAGCTTATGGTTGGCTGCAACACTAGGAGTGTCACGTGCACGTTGCCGGCCCTGAAGAAACCTTAATATACCCTTTTTGAAAAACCCCATATTGTAGTCTCTAGGGAAATATAACTAAGATTGGTTTTGTATTTGTTTGTTATCTCTTGGGCATTACCCGCTCCACCAATCATCATAAAATTTAATAAATCCATAGTATTTGGTATAAACAAGGACACAGGCTACCTTTAACTGGGTCAACCAAAATATTTTGTATAGACAAAGTCGTATATAAAAATTAGTTTAGAAATACGATGTAGGTACCAATTATATATAACATAGCCTTCCACAGTCCCAAGTTACAAGAAGTTGGAATCGTTTTTACCTAGTGGCGCAAACTAATCGCAAAGTTCCACAGATTCGGCAACCTTCGGTATCTGTTGGTAGTGACATTGTGCAAATTAGTTGTATGATTGATTAACTTATAATATCACCATTGGGAAAACTAGTATTAGAACACTTTATACATTATACAGAGTGTGGCGTAAATTATACATGATATTACTTTAAACTCTGACGATAGGGCACGGTAATTAACGATA